GCAGTAGTAGTAGTTGTAGTAGTAGCAGTAGTAGCAGCAGTAGTAGTGGTGGTAGTAGTAGGGATTGTTGTTGTTGTTGTGGTTGTGGTTGTGGTTGTGGTTGTGGTTGTGGTTGTGGTTGTGGTTGTGGTTGTGTTTGTTGTTGCGTGTGCGTGTGCGTGTGTGTGTGGGGGTGTGTGTGGGTGTGTGGGTGTGTGCGTGTGTGCGTGCTTGCGTGCGTGCGTGCTGGTGTGTGTGTGTGTGTGTGTNNGTGTGTGTGGGTGTGCGTGTGCGTGTGCGTGTGCGTGTGCGTGTGCGTGCGTGTGCGTGCGCGCGTGCGTATGCACATGCGCGTGCACCCCTGCATCAAAGGGCTACGTAACAAGGAGTTGCAGGGGGGTGCAAGGGACATTGCAAGTCCTGTTCCAACGAACACGCTGGCAATGATCCGTGATGGGAGTCGGGACGCCAACTCCTGTACCTGAATCTTTTGATAAAACTGTAAGAATCTTTGCGACAAGTGCGGATACATGTCAGGATGTCGAGCGCCTCAGTCATGTGCAATTAGGTGAACTCCATCCTCGATTCCCATATGTTGAGATGAATCAGAGGAAAGAGCTCAACACAAGAGCAGAGCAGCAGAGCCACATCGCCGACGACATTCCAGATCAAGAGATCTGGTGCAAGTGTGTTCGTTTCGGTTTCTCGTAGGCAAGCTGCCTGCGAAACTGACCTAGCGGGCTTGCACTACGATTGGTGAAGTCCAGCTGTGTGGTTTCTGAAATGCTCTGAGCTCTCCGACATTTAGTGTAAAGTCATTCGATGTGTGGGTAGGTCCTTGTACACTGTATGCACACAAAGCGAGATGAAGTTAGATGCTTTTGTTGCTGAAATCGCGTCGCAGCACTTATTCCAAGCTGACCCCAAACCGAAGTAAAATGCAGTACATCTTAATGCCCGCTTTGTACATCACTACTAGTCACTAGTCACCACAATAAGCACAGAGGGAAGGAACTCGGGAAGGTATGTCGCGTTGGTGGGGTGCAGAAAGGCCGCAAGGCCCAAGTCATGTTTCCTTGCTACTCGTCGTTCAGGGGTTACGGCTCGTAGTAACCTGAAGATTTCCCAACCCTAAAGCACTAAACCCGAAGCGGACAGCTTGAACTCGCAAAAATCCATAGAGTTGGCCCTGTGAAGCCAGAAACAGCGACCTGAGTGTGTTCCCAACCCGAAGGGTTAAGACCTACAGTACACATGCATTCGCTGCAGTGAGGCTTTGAGTGCTGTTACGCCAAGCGATGTTAGGCGGGTGGCAACATACAGCAAAATCAGCAAACCCTGAGATTCATTCATCTGCAAGCACCCCTATCCCAGCTTCCCAAAGCCCCAAGTCTCGTAAGGTTGTTTCGTGCCCACTCTCCAGGAGGCCGAGGCTGTACAGGCCAAGTTCAGCGCAATGACGCGAGCTGTGGGCCGATGTGCCAGAGGCTGAAGCTTGTCATATGCCGCTCGTGCTGGCCAGAAGGTGGGAACAAGAAATACGACGCCGAAAGCTTTTATTCCATAGTTCCTCAGAACACCAAGCCACCTAGCTGCTATCTCGCAAGTTTGGAAGCGTCTCACTCTCAGGTCAGTGCCGAGGAACTTCAGCGGAGCGTGGAGGACGTTCTCTGAAGCCGTGGGTGACTAATGTAAATAGCCATCATCATCATCATCATCGTCGTCACCATCACCATCACCATGACGACAACATCAACAACTGCAGTTCTAATACCATCGAGAGTTGCTGCACGGCTGGAGCGGCACAGACGGGGTAGGGCATAGTGGTGTTGCATTAGACGGGGAACCGGAACTTACAAGCCTCCGAGTTTGAAGCATTTTTTCCCAGTGAGACTTGACAGATGTTTAGGCACTGCGCTGCATACGTTGGGTATGAAGTGCACTGGGACCCGGAGCACAGAGCAATTTTCGCCAGTGTAGTCCCGATATTCTTGAACCCTACATCCGGCTGTTGGACTTTGGCGGTGGCTCCGCTTCCGACTCGAAGGGCACCAGGAGTCGGCAAATTGTTCGGTCGAGGGGATCATTGATTCGGACTGGCTTTGACATGATGGTAATTTTGGAAACACCATGGGGCGTGACAACAATATTGATGATTCCCGTGAAAGTCCTGCTAGGTATCAGGACGATAGTGCTGCCCCGAAGTTTGCAACCTGGAAGCTGGCATCTGATTCGCTGGAGGACAGCAAAAGGAGGAGGAAACCCAAGTTTTGAGGTTACTGGCTTATGGGGCTTATTATTATGATTGTTCCGTGGTTCTGCGTTTGTTGAAACTGGAGGACTTGACTGCGGAGATTGACAAGAAAGCTGACAGCAGCAAGTGTCCGCGCTCAGCTGCTGCTCAGAGAGCGGTGGGTCTGCTGTTATGGTCAAGCCTTGCATGCTGAGGAGACTGCTTGCTTGTCTTTGCGATGTGAGATCCGCCTTTCTTCCGCTTAGACAGCGGCATGTATGAAAGCGGTGGTTCTGTTGCTCCGTTGTTACGACTGCTAACGTCGCTGCTGTGCCACTCCTGTGAATTATCCAGTTCGGTGCATGCACCGATGACTCCGACAAAAACCGACCCACGTTGAGATGACCTAGGCGAGTCAAGGCAGACGGCAAAAGCAGCTGTGTCCCTATACTGACCTGAGAAAATCTATGCTCACTAGCAAATCCTGGTGACTCTTTGCCTGCATCCAAACTTCTAAAAGACATGAATCTTCAATACTACAGACAGAAGACCTTCTATTGAAACCAAAATTTGAAGCATTTTTGGGGAGCGCCTGCCCAGGATAGATCTGCTGGTCTCCCAGGTGGAGATCCTCAGCGATGCTGGGTTCTCAGAGTTACACTTAGTAGGGTCTCACGCGCGTCCCTGGACGCTAAACGCGTTCAGGGGTCAGGGCTCTTGCCTCGGCTTCTTTTATGGGCACTATACAGGCTCCAAGGCTCTATAAGGATTCTAGGAAGGTTTTAGGGTTGGGGTCCTGCGGTTCGATGGCCTCACTTTGGGCTTCATAGGCTCAAACAATAAGAAACAGCAGAGTTTACGTCACCCACCGTGAACAGTAGAGCCTTCCGGGTAGATGCATGCAGCCATGAATCCCGTAGCTGGTAGAATCCATTGTTCTTGCTTCAAGGCTCTTGGTTCGTTGGTTACGAGCGATGTCGGATCTCGGCGCTCCGAAACCCAAACAAAGACCTGCTACGATGGTTTGAAGGCTGGTCAATCCCTCAGTAGCCGCTTCAAGCCCAAAGCCGAAAAAAGCCGAAACCGCTTGGCAGCCGGTCGCTCCAGGCTTTAGGGCAGCATGCGGCATTTTCCTGGCCGCAAGAAACAATCGCATTTAGCTTCCCTACTCAGAGATCCTTTTGAAAAACCCAAACCCTCACTAAAATGCCTCCCCCTCGCCCTTGCCTTGCATCCCTACTGTAGAATTTTGTCGAGAGGTCTGAGAAGCTTCGCTTAGGGCCCTAGAAGATCTTGAGGATTGTCGTGAGATGCTCTGCGAAGGGTTTGGGTTTACGAATTGTGGGATATTTGCGTCCGATTGTGTGCAACGGCTCAGCACGCAAATCTCTCCGGAACATGTAGGTACTTGTCGAAATTTGTTGGGGTCGGTTCCAAACACTGCTCCGTGTTTTCGCATGTGCATTTGCATCGTGCTTGGGTGATTGGCACAATGGCGCGGATGATTTTAAGGCATAGGTCCACACTTGTGTAACGCGCTCCCATGAGCCTCACCCGGCGAAGTCGAACATGCTTGATTATAATGATTTACGCACCTCCGAGGTCATAACTCCCAAGCTCAAGCGCGGTGCTGGTGGCAGGTCGGACTGTTGGCTCTGGTTAAACGCTTAGAGGGTTTGTGGGGTTTGTGCTGTAGAGTTTCAGGGTAGGCTGATGTAAAACACGAGGCTAGACGAGGCATTTGGGGGGCTCCTCAGCGTTGCATCGGGTTTTCGAAAGTCAACCATTAGCCCTGTCTTGGGATGGTACACAGTTTCTGTCGGGATGTCAGGCACGGAGGTTCCTAGAAATCTGCAGTTGGCCATTGGACCTGGCAAACAGAGTGTTCGACCATGTTGCTGTGCGCTTCAAGCCAGCACCAGGTCTTGCAATTAAGGTGCCTTCAGTCTTCCTTCGTTTGAGGCCGGGCACGGCGAAGAAGAAAGGCTTCGGAAAAGCTGAGACGACGGCGTGCCTTGCTGGAGCAGCAGATATGTATCACAATGTCTCATGTAGGTTGACAGACATGGACACAGAGACTTAGAGAGAGACAGGCAGATTGACGGAACAGCAGGACGATGGACAGAGATACACCCAGTGGCGCTAGCTGTTTTTTTTTTTTCGGGGCGGTGTGTGGTTTGTTGCTTGTCCGTTTCCGGTTTCGGAGCGAGCAAGCAAGGAAGCAACCAGCGAGCGAGGGTGCGAACGAGCAACAAGCCAGCAAGCAAGCAAGCAAAGCAAGCAGCGGGTTTAAGTTAGGATATTTCAGCGACCACCATCGGCTAGTAAGCCGGCGGGTTCACGAAACGGGGTCAACCTCGATCGCCTAATGATGGACCGGGTTTCGAGACTCTTAAAATATGGGATTCACCACCATCGCCCGATGTGGGGGGCTGGTTAAGAAAGTTGATGAACCACCATCGCCGGCCTAACAGATGGAATCAAAGGCCATCGCCTGATGAGCGGCGGGCATTTCAGAAATGGGATTTAACCGCCATCAACCAATGAGCAGGCGGGCTTGTAATCTGGCTGCAGGCTGAAGAAGGTGGATCCCATTTCTTAAGACCGCGCCCGAATAATTAGGCAATGGATAAACAGAGTAACTACAACAGCCATAGCAATGGTCAAGCGATGGCGGTTGCTCACAGCGGCTGGTTCCATCTGTTAAACCAGCCCCGCGCTGGCAGTTGATCCCATTTCTTGAGCCATCCCCCTCATCGGGCGATAGTGGTTGATCCTATTCCTTAAACCCGATTATGCGAGAGCGGTTGATACTACTCCTGAACTTAAGCTCCCTCCCTCAGGTTGATCAAGGTTTACTGACCCATGTCCTTAGCCCGACTCACTGGGCGATGGGCCGTCGTGTAGTAAGGGGTTGAAAAAATAGCAGGATCCACTATCATCGCCGCAAGAGAGGTCGGGTTAGGACAGAGTGTGCAGCGCTTTCAGGGCATCACCCCACAAGCACCACTCCCATGTACTGGCGGGCTGGTCATGTGAGTTCAGTGTCAGGACTCCATGACCACAACGCTTCTCACATGCACAGTCACGACTCGGAGATCCGACCAAAAGGCTTCCCGATGCAATTGTCTAGGCCAAAATGAGGCGAATGTACTGGCCTTCAAAACGAAACGCGCTTGAGGATGCGGCCGCACCCGAAGTGTGTAATCACTAGGACCTGAACGCGATCTATGCTCCATACCGTGATGCTACACAGCATGCTCCACTCCATGGCTGGAGTAGGATTTATGAACAAGACAAAGGGGAAAAAAGAGACGGAGAGAGAGAGAGAGAGGATCCTAGAAGAAGGGGGGAATGTCGCCGATTAGCGCATGTGTAACACACAGTGTTGATTCCTCGGGAACTCGCGTTATCTCATAGATGCTCTAGGTGCTACATCTTGGGTACGTGGTGGTCGGTGGTCCGGGGAAAAAATCAGCACAACAGCCTGAGATACGGGGTGCGCTGGCGGGCACAGGGGCTTGACACGCCACTTATGCCCAAGAAGAGGGAGAGACGAACGTTGGCTTGAGACAGATATGAAAAGAAAAGTTAGGTGGCGAGACAGAGGGACAGATGTAGATTCTTCATAGTCAGTGTATCATGACGCTTTCTAATCTTTTTCACTGACCTGGGGCCTAAAGCGCCTCTCGATAAGCGATGTTGCCTGAGACTCTCATATCGTTCGTGAAGACTCTGAATTCCCCAAGGTTCAATCCTGCAACCGCGAAGCCTTCAGTCAGCCCTGAACGCATTTCCATCATAGCAGTGAGCCCCATTTAATCGTCAAGAATAATTTTCAGTGATGGGATGCGAGCCGAGCTAGTCTCGTGCATATGAGATCTCAACTTCCAGGCCCCCGGAACACGCCAGCCGCGAGATGCAGTGACGAAGGCTATTTCATGGCCAGACGTTGAGGATCGAGGCCCCCCAAATCCAAAATCCTCCACCGAAAACGCTTCAGGATTCTGTTCGAAATTTGTCGGTGGCATAGAAAGGTTGGAAGTATATGAGCTCCGGCCATCTGTTTATGCTTCGTATGGTCAGAGCTGAGTAAGGTACTGGCATCTGCACTTGCGATTACTGGTGGTGAGCCAGTTCAGACATGAGCGGTTGCCAATGGTTTAAGATGAACGGAAAGGGTGAGACGGTAGCGGGATGCTCCAGCGCATGCTTGAGCTGACTTGTGTCTTTATTTATCCCTCAGCAGATGCAAAAGAATCAGAATAAGAATACGTCGTCTCCTGGGTGTTGGGGTGTAGGCTTTGCTCTCAGGGTGTCGTCGTCCTTTGGGTGTTCAGGCTTCCGTACCAGGTTCCTGTCAAAATGGTTTGCATCCCGACATGACCCAACATAGCTAAGTTGGGCTTGCACAACTATGATCGGCTAAACC